GCCATGGGCTGCCAAAGGAACCAATAGATCCGTTTTGGAAGAAGTGCATCCAGAGTGCTCCTTGTAGACCAAGATGACCACACTTCATCTCTCATACTTTGGACATATTGTCAGGAAGGACTAGTCACTGGAAAAGAATATCATGTTTGGTAAGGTGTAGGGTCAGAGAAAAAGAGGAAGACCCCCAACAAGATGGATTTGCCAAGTGGCAGCATAGATGGACTCAAGCATGGCAATGATGGTGAGGTTGGCCCAGCATCGGACAGTGTTTTGTTTTGTTGTGCATAGGGTTGCTATGGGTTGGTACCGACTCAATGGTACCTAACAACAGCAACAAACAACCCAAATATGAGAGGACAGGAAAATGGATACATGATTCATTTTTAAATGTGGGGGAGATTAAGAGAAAATTGTGAAAGAAATCTTCATTATAAAAATGTGCCCTACTGAGACAGGTTTGAACCTAGCTACTGGGCTCTTCTAATGATTTTTGAGGCTCTAGGAAGTCCTGTGTGGTGCTGTAAGGTAAGCACTGAATTGCTAACTACAACGTTGTGGTTCCAACTCACCAGCTGCTCTTCGGAAATCCTATACAGTGTAGTAGTTGTGAGTTGTCATCAACTTGATAGCATTTAACAGCAACAACAACAACATTTGGGGTTGCTCTGATTTAACACCCAAATTTTTATCTCAAACATCATTCCTCCCAACTGTGTCCCACGCAAAGCTGTTTGGAATGCATGATGATGAAACAAGTAGTCACAGCAACAAGAATCTGACTTGAGAGCCAGGTATAAATTCACAAAGCAAGTTCTGCTGGAATTCCTTGAGCTGAGATGACCTTGTCCTGAAGTAAGAATAATTTCAAGCTCAATGATTACACTCAAGTCTATATGTGCTGTTGGCCCAATGTTGTTTTTAGTTGGACTCTTAGACAAGAATATTAAGGTATAATAATTTTTAGAGTTGTCACAAAGAATTTGGATAAACTCTAGAACTGCTTCTTCTGAGAATTAAAAAGTATAATGTTAAGGTGATCACAGATCACTGTTTTCCATCCAGTGTGTTCCATCCCACTAGTGATTTATAGTCAAGTGATAAGCCATGGTGTCTAGCCCCTCTTGCTTATTTCCTACCTGTACTATTTTCGGATTGTTCTATCATTGTGTCTTACATCCAGTGCTCAGCATAACTATGGTGTGCAAAACATAATCACACTGTTCACTTTGAGGTTTTCCATCTTCTCACCCCACCACGTAATGCCTACCATATTTTTTATGAAATACAAGCATTCCTTATGACCCCACATCAATTTCTGTCTTTGGGTCTGGCCTTCCCTTCATTCTTACTAGCATCACTGCCTTAGGCATTATTCTAGATGTGCCATGGTACCCTTGGAAAGTCACGAGTGTGTTTCAGAAAACAAATACAAGTCTGGAAATTCTTCTGATGGACCTAGTGACCCCATGGAGATTCATGGGAAAGTTCTTCATACAAGAGGGACCCTGGAGAAGGGAAGGCTGAGGTGTCCACATCCTCTGTGAAAATAGACTTGGCCTGGGAAAGCCTCCAACAGGTAGAGAAGAGGTGGAAGAGCCGAGAGGGAGAGGTGCACAGTCTGAGTCTTTGGTGTCTGTGGCAGAGAAGAGGGAGGACAGATCAGACCATGGCCAGTAGGACAGCTGAGGCTGGACAGCTGAAAGACCATGGCCCAGTTGTTTCAGAGTACACTCACCCAGTGGGTCAGCCTTTCCATCCCTGTCTGGAACTGTAAATACTCCCACTATTCGGTGGCCCTCTTTCCGCAGGTGACTGTAGACTTCTTGTCCAAAGACGCTCTGTCCAATGAGTGCCAACTTCAGCTTGTTTTTGAAATAAACCTATTGAACAATTCAATTAGTATCAGATGTAAGCATGGATAAGAGGCATTCAGATAACACACCTTTCTTTTTGCTACACAAGATGACTTGAGGCCTACAAAAGATTCAAAATCTGTAAAGTAAAATTTCTATTCACTTACATTGAACTCATTCTACATTATATACAAATAGCTGTTGTTGTTGTTAAGTGCCGTCAAGTTAGTTCCAACTCATAGGAGCCCTGCCTGTATAGATTTTTCAAGAAGTGGCTGGCGGGTTGGAACTGTTGACCTTGTGGTTAACAGTCCAATGCTTATCCTACTGTGCCACACCAGGACTCCCATACAAATAGCGTTGTTGTTAAGTGCCGTTGAGTCGGTTCTGAGATATAGTCACCCTGGATAGGGTCTCCACACCCAAATGTTGCTCATTTCCCCTTTGTTCTAATTCCTTTGATTATTCATTTGAGTAACTATTTGTATTATTCAATATTAAATGTGATTACATTTATATGTTACTTCAATTCCTTGGTGAAATTTATTAATTAAATAAATTTGTTGTTGTTGTTGTTAGGTGCCATTGAGTTGGTACCGACTCAGAGTAACTCTATGCACAACAGACTGAAACACTGCCTGGTCCTGAGCCAACCTCACAAATCTCTGCTATGCTTGAACCCATTATTGCTGCCACTTGGCCAATTCATCTCGCTGGGGGTCTTCCTCTTTTTCTCCCACCCTTCACGTTACCAAACATGATATCCTTCTCCAGTGACTGGTCCCTCCTGACAATATGTCCAAAGTATGAGAGACGAAGTCTGGCCATCCTGACCTCCAAGGAGCACTCTAGCTGTACCTCTTCCAGCACAGAATATTTAAAGTACCATGAACTGCCAGAAGAACATAGATTTGTTCTTCTGGAAGTCCATGATACTTTTAATAGTCTCTTCCAACACCATAACTTAAATGCATCAGTTCTTCTATGGTCTTCCTTATTCACTGTCCAGCTTTTGCATACATATGAGGTTATTGAAAACACCATGGCTTGGGTCAGGCACACCTTAGTCCTCAAGCCAATAGCTTTGCTCTTCAACATGTCAAAGAGGTCATGTGCAGCAGGTTTAAACACCATGACTAAGAAGAGTGAAATTCTGAGCAGGATCTACATCATTGTAACAATGCTTGTCCATTCCTGCAACATAGGACTTAGAACTGGGTTTATCATTTGTCTCTAAAAGAGCTAACATTAATATAACACAGAAGTCAAAAGCACAGATCCTCAAGCTGACCTGCCTGGGGTCAAAACTAGTGCCCTAGTCGTGTGACCTTAAGCAAGTAACTTAACCACTATTTACCTTGTTTTTCTCATCTGAAAATGGGAATAAAAATAACATCTTCCTTACAGGATTTTGAGAGAAGTAAATGAATAGCTATGTACACGTGTACAGTGGGGTCCTGGTGTGGCACTCTAGAATAGGTACTGAATTACTAACCACAAGGTCAGTGGTTCAAGCCTACCAGCCACTCCTTGGAAGCCTTATACAGGGTCACTATCAGAACTGACTTGATGGCACTTAACAACAACACAACAACACACCAGCAAGGGCCTTGAGTGCGTGGCACTGTAGGACTGCTAGGCAAGGGTGGCAGTCGAAACCCACTAGCTACTCTTGGTAACCCTATATAGGGTCACTGTGAGTTGGAACCAACTTGGCAGCACAATATATACTAGACATTGTTCTATGTTTTTTATATAGTCCAAAATTTCAAAATCCTGTTGTTGTTGTTGTTAAGTGCCATTGAGTCGATTCCAACCTATAGCGACCCTGTGTAGGGTTTCCAAGGAGTAGCTGGTGAGCTTGAACCACCGACCTTGCGGTTCAAACGACTTTGCAGTCTGACACATTAGCCCACAGCGCCACACCAGGACTCCATAACCCCCCAAAACACCTCCTGTCACTGAGTTGATTCTGACTCATAGTGATCTACTGGGCTGAGGAGAACGGCCCCATAGGGTTCCAAAGCTGTGATCTTCATGGGAGTAGACCTGTACTTTTTTCTCCCACAGAGTGGCTGCTGGGTTTGAACCACTGGTTAGCAGTAGAGTGCTTTAATGGCTGCCCAAACAGGACTCCTTCAAAGACTATGCATCATATCATTTAATTTAATCCTCACAACTACCCTGTGTTACTATCTCCCCACTCTGCACCATTTTATGAATGAATTACATAAGACTTAGAGAAGTCAAGTTGTTGTTAGGTGCCGTCGAGTAGGTTCCAACTCCTGTGCACAACAACAAAACACTGCCCAGTCCTGTACCATCCTCACAGCTGTTAAGCTTGAGCCCATTGCTACTGCCACTGTGTTAATCCATATCGCTGGGGGTTTTCCTCTTTTTCACTCACCCTCCACTTTACCAAGCACGATGCCCTTCTTCACTGGTCCCTCCTGACAACATGACCAAAGAATGGGAGAGAAAGCCTCATCATCCTGGCTTCTATGGAGTATTCTGGCTGTACTTCTTCCAACACAGATTTGTTTCTTCTTCTGGCAGTCCATGGTATTTTTAATATTCTTCACCACCATAACTCAAATGCATCAATTCTATGGGATTCCTTATTCAATGTTCAAAAGTCAAGTAACACCCTCAAAATCACAGTGCTAAACAGGGGAACACCGAATGTTTTCAAATTAAGAAAGGTGTGCAACATGGTTGTATTCTTTCACCATACTTATTCATCCTGTATGCTGAACAAATAATCTGAGAAGCTGGGTTCTATGAAGGAAAACGTGGCATCAGGATCAGAGGAAGTCTCATTAATAACCTGCGATATGCAGATGATACAACCTTGCTTGCTGAAAGTGAAGAGGACTTAAAACATTTACCGATGAAGATCAAAGAGCACAGCCTTCGGTATGGATTACATCTCAATGTCAAGAAAACAAAAATCCTCACCACTGGAACAATAAACAACATTCATATCAACGGAGAAAAGATTGAAGTTGTCAAGGACTTCATTCTTCTTGGATCAACTATCAACACTCATGGAAGCAGCAGTCAAGAAATCAGACAACGTATTGCATTAGGCAAATCTGCTGCACAAGACCTTTTTAAAATGTTGAAGAGCAAAGATGTCAGCTTGAGGACTAAGGTGCGCCTGACCCAAGCCATGGTATTCTCAATAACCTCATATGCATGCAAAAGCTGGACAGTGAATAAGTAAGACTGTAGAAGAATTGATACCATTGAGTTATGGTGTTGGAAGAGAATATTGAAAGTGCCATGGGCTGCCAAAAGAACCAATAGATCTGTTTTGGAACAAGTGCAGCCAGAGTGCTCCTTGGAGGCCAGGAAGGCCAAACTTCGTCTCTCATACTTTGGACATATTGTCAGGAGGGACCAGTCACTGGAGAAGGATATCATGTTTGGTAAGGTGGAGGGTCAGAGAAAAAGAGGAAGACCCCCAACGAGATAGATTAGCCAAGTGGCAGCACTGATGGACTCAAGCGTGGCAACAGTAGTGAGGTTGGCCCAGGATCGGGCAGTGTTTCGTTCTGCTGTGCATAAGGTCGCTATGGGTTGGTACCAACTCAATGGCACCTAAAAACAACAACAACAACAACAAACAAGGGAATGGCTGGAAGTTGATATCAAGTCTGTATGACTCTGAACTCCATGTATATGTAAAAAAAAATCCACTGTCATTGAGTTGATTCTGACCCATAGGGTTTCCAAGATGGTAAATCTTTATAGAAGCAGACAGCTTTCTCCTTCAGAGTTGCTGGTAGGTTTAAACATTTAAAAATAAATAAATAAAAGTATTATTAAAAAACAAACAATTGTTGATAAAGGAAACGAGTGTAAATTGCTACTATTTGATGAATTTGACCTATACTTATGGATGTAGTAGCTCAAAATACCAACTGAGAGGGAAGGAGTCTTCATATCAAGTATCAATCCTACCCCCTATGTATACAGGGTAGATAGGGATGGGCAACTTAGGCAATGACTACTTAAAATGAGGGGGTGATAAAGGCATGAAGTGACTGGCTTACACGTTTTCAAGAGGGAGTTTAGTTTAAGAGTATGAGGGGTAAGGTATAGTCTCCAATGGATAGCTTTCACTGTGTCTAGATAAGTCTGGTTAAAAGAGACCGAGTTAAGATTCTTAGGATTCACTAGTGAGTAATTGTTATCATGACTAATTGCGACTGTCACAATTGTAAAAGTAGATGTTTTGTAACAAAAACGGGAGAATTGTTAATCCTATAGTACAGAAACAGAGGCCCCTAGCATCATCAAAAGAGAAGAGTACAAGCAGAGTGTGGGACCCTATTCAGAGTAGCAGCAACACCAGAGATGGAGGCAGAGATGAGGACATGGAGAGAAAGAGCAGCTGAGGACTCTGGACTCATGGAAAGAGGGGACTGGGTGCTGGTGGCCAGGAGGCAGGCTTGCAGAATGTGGCCTTTGGTTGTTTATATTATTATATTTGCCTAGTGTTTCTATGTACATGCTCCCTCCCCCCCCCAAAAAAAAAAACCACACACACACAATAAAAACAAGGAATGGAATATGGTTGAATGATAATGCACAGAGATTATAATCATTGCAATGAAACGGTGTAAAGTCAATGTTCTCCCATGTAAACTATCACTTAGCTCACAATAAAAACTTAAAAAATAAATAAATAAAAGAATTAAAATGAATTACTACCGCCCATCTCTTCATCTTTCCTTAAAAAGATGAAAACTGACACCAAAAAGACAGTGCTTGTGAAGAAATAGAAACACTACAGAGATTTAAACAAAAACAAAAAAATACTGACTGTCATCAAGTTGGTTCTATCTCCTGATGACCATAGTGCCTCTAAGGGCATTAAAGCTTTTGAAGAATGCTTTTAAGGAATTAATTCTGTAAGCTATCCTCATATGGAACTTTCTCACAATGTTTAAGGTAATACATTGATATCACAGTTGTTAAACTGTCTGAGGCTGAAAAACTATCTGAGGAAGCAGGGTTTG